CCTCATGTCATTCCAATTCTGGATGTTTTCCTTTCTTCTGTGAAACACACAAGATATTTTGAAAAATGTTAGTAACCAAACAGTTTTGGTGACCATTGACTTCCATTGTACAAAATAATAAAAAAAACAGACATGTTTTTAAAATATCTTCTTTTATGTTCTACTCCAAAAAAAAAAAATCATTCAGGTTTTGAAATGACATAGGGTGAGTATGATGTCAGAAATTTAAGTTTTAGTTGAACTATCCCTCTAATTACAGGTTTCTACAAGTTTGAATTTATTAACTTTTGCTCGTCGGATCTGTCTTCACTCTTGCAGATGTTTGACTATCAGAAAATCACTTTAAACCTGAGTGTAGGCCAAACCTCTCTGATTCTCAGTCCTATTAAACCCAGCCAACATGTTAAGTGTTAAGTTTTAGTGCAGAGTCTCAATCCCGATAGTAATGTGTCTTAGTTTAGCAGATGTCACGCAGGTAAAGATGATGAATAGACAGCAGAGGATAATAGTGAGTGGCAGAACACCTGCAACAAAGGCAACTACAAAGAGGCCTCACTGACAGCGCTTCCTTCCCCCCAGCCTCCATCGTGACCCCTCTGGAATCTAGCACCATCTTGGAAAAAGATTTCCAGCACTGCTCTTTATCAGATGCTGGTCCCAAGAGCCTGTTAAATAGACCGGGCTTTGCAAATCGAGCGGTGCTGCGGCGAAATTAAAGGGTCAAGTGATGGAAGGTGTCCCACACCTGCTGCTAAATCTGGTTGAGTTCCATTTTTGTATGGGATGACAGAGGAGCAAATAAACATTGGCCAGAATGTACGGGATAAAAAGAGAAAGATGTAGCCAATTGGCCAAGAGGGATCTTTAAGAAACCGTTTATTATGGACAAAATGGACACTAACCTACTTACATTGAAGAAGTCGGATTTAGAGGTGCTTGACAGAGTTTTATTTTCACAAGAACAGACATGGTGTCTGTGGATGATAAAAAAATAACTGCATTAGGTCCATTAGAGCACAGCTTATACCCGGAAAACAATAGAGCCTAGAACCAGCGAGTGTTGTTCATTGGAACATGACACGAGTATATTCAAACCTTTAAGTATCCTCCATAACTGATATTTGTTTTAGGCATAATGGGTGTCAATAACACAAGATTCGCAAGTGTAATGGCTCGCGACAAACCCCTGCCGTGTGGCTTCATTTAAATACGAAAGGCTTAATAAGGAAAGTTATCCACCTGGGACGCTCAGAATACCAGCAGCACCACATACAAAACAAACAAGCACTCGCAACAGATGTCACATGTAAAACTAAATATAACGTGCCTTTGGTTGGGTCACACCTGGAAAACACAGGCAATTAGCCAAAGTAGCCCATGAAAGCCATCCAGTCGATGAAATATATACTATACATATATATATATATAGCTGTGGCCACTGTGCAAATACAGAGCGTGAATGCCGATACTGCCGTGGCGACTGTAATAACCGATGTGTTCATACGACGCCCACAAGAGCTAAAATTGTCTTTTTGTGAATACATTACGCTGTTAAAACACTCTGGCTTTTTGTGATGTACATGGGATTGTTATTATAAGCCACATTTCCATAAAGAAAAGCCTATTGTTGTGCTCATTTGAACTGGTAGTTTAAAGGCATGTTTGAGATCTAATCCCTTTGGCATTAAGCTGCTAAGTGTTATTTAACCTATTTGACTAATTCAAATCTGAATAGTGACAGATCACCTGACTGTCCTATAGGATAAGTACAGGTTAGGCTACTGCGCACGCCACAATTGGAACAGTGGGCAAATTTCATGGTGGGCAGCCTGAGGAGGTCATGGTTTTAAGGCAAATTGATTTCGAAACCACTGTCCACTGTCATTTTCCATGTCAAATGAATGCTGGTCTGGCCTTTCCTGGCCAGTGAATCTAAAGTGGTGGCACTAACCATTCAGGTTATTTGGAGGCTTTATTTGGATGAATTTACATTCAGGAACCTCGCACACATCCTTTTTGGAAAATGGCAAGAAAATAAAGGATTACTGAGGAAAGGAAGCAGAGACAGAGCCAAAACCATATACTTTGTTTACCTGTCCAAAGGCTATTCAAATACAACCTTTAGTTTGTGCCTTGCAGTCCAACAAGATTGGATTCATTTGACTGATTCTGACTTTTGTTGATCAGAATTGAGGAAATGCAACAATATGAATGGACAGTTCATAGTATCCGTAATGGGCTAAACTGCTTTGTCGAGTATCACCGGACATAACAATATTATTTCCCTAAAAACATCACATGGTTGGTACATTACATTTTATATTCTTTGTGATTGGTTATTTATGTGTTACATTAAAAGGTGATAACCACAAGAATTAAACAACCTGCATATCTGCAGCATGTTTTAAAACATTTGGAAAAATTTAAATTATGCTTTACTTGTTTACATTTTTTTCTCTTGGTTTTTTTCTCTCTAAATTTAGTGGGTCTGGGTCGTTAAAAAACCCTGAATCATATTCTGTGCTTTCTCGGTGTGAACAGTGGACATAAAATCTACACCTGTGTGACAAAAAGTCATTTATTTTACCATGCGGTTAGTATTGACTTGATAAGAGAAACAACCACAAGAATACAATCTGTCATTCCAACACTGAGGTCACATTCAACAACATGCCTATCTCACCTGATAGCATCAGCCAGGTGTCAGAGAAAGCTGACGGGCGATAAGGTTACACTGCAACCCAAATTTCGTTTTGTCAGGGCTGCTGTTACAATTTGTAAATACACGATTACTAGCCAAAAGACAAATGTATCATTTCAGTACATTTGAGATATTTTAATTAATTTAAGAAGCAGTTATTTAAATTAAAAACAAAGAATCTAGCCTAATTACAACTAATCTTAGATTAAATGCCTCCCCCCCAAAAATAAAATGTTTAAGTTTAAGCTTGACTTTTTATAATAGTGAAGGATTCCAGATTACAATGTTTATTTCATCATATAACTTATACCTGTTTAGAAATGCTCCTCTGCAAACACTTTTTAAGATACGGTCATAATTTTCAGCTTATAAACAATACAACCTTCTTGATTCTTTGGCATACGTTGTACAGTAAATCAACTTTCAAAAACAAACAAACAAACATACAAAAATCCTCCATTAAAGATATAAACTATTTCCATTCAGAACAATAGAATGCAAACTGATTTGCATAAGTCCCTCAGGTACAACTGAGAGCCAAATTGACATTTTCTTTTTGTTTTAGCAAATTGTGTATCTTGCCTTATCTTTTGTTGCTTGTTTCTTTTTACGGAACAAGTTTCCCTATTTTTTTTATTTAAATATTTATTTACCCATTATAAAACAACAACATGATTATTTTTGCTACCATTTTCTCTCAATGCTGGAACAAGTTCCCAATCAAAACATTGGTTCTGAAAAAAATGAAGACAAAAATGTATGAAAAGCTTCAGAAAAGCTTAACCTATTTAAGCAGCCCACTAAACAGCAGTGTAAAACTGCACTAATACTGTTGTTTTTAAAGCATTGTGGTTTAACCTTCATCTCTCAAGCACTCAACACCACTTGTATCTGTACCTGTACTGTATTCTTAATGACATTTGAGGTTTACAACTCTTCACTTCTTCCCCGTCTGCACAAGCACATCCAATTCGTTTTCTTTAAGATGCTATTTAAAAACATTTGCCATGAATGTAAATGTAGATTAATATTAAGATTACATTTTAGTTAAGATGAAACCAACAGTTTAATAGCACTGTTGCTTTATCTAATGACATTACATCAATTCTGAAAACGTATTAAAAAATAGGTCGTTTTATTTGCATATTTGAGTGCACTATTGCACAGTAATTATGAAGGATGGAATTTAGTAAACTGGTTACCAAATTAGTTCACTAATTAACTGATTTTATAAATGAGTTGCAATGTAATAATTTCAACACATGAATTACCCTCTTAACACTATGAACTGACTGTTGAGTCTTGACTCATAGCTGTATTTGCATGTGTTGCGCTTGAACCTCATTGAAATCTTGAGCACTGACTCCCTCGTGTGGTAACATTATAAAACTACAGTTTTTTCACACTTTAATTACCCAGTGAATATTTCTTTATTAAAAAAAAAAACAAAAAAACAATAAAATAAATAAATATAAATAATAATAATATATACTTGATTGAGTGACAACTTGCCCCCAGCTGACATTCTTGAATAATACCCTTGTCCTGAGAACTTCTTAAAATGTCAGTATTAATAGACTAAATACTGAATAATTAAATATTCTACTTGGTTTTTGATGGTGTCGGCGTAACACACTATAAAAAATTATATGATAAATAAGTTATGACAACATATGTTTTTACATTGCTTCACCAAAATAGTAGTTTCAGTTATACAAGATTCAACTCATTTTTTAAAGTCTGTTTAATGTAATTTAAGATGAAATTGATTAAACATTCAAGTTGATTGTACTTAAAAATTTAAGGCAGCAATTTTATTTACAGTGAGTTATTAATTATTAATTTCTGAGCTATCAATTTCGGTCCAAAATTTTTTAATTATTGTTACCGCTAATTTATGTATGATAGCCTATACATTATCATTTATCACACTTGTTTGAAATAAAATGCATTAATCAGCAAACAACAACATGCTTATGCAACCAAATGCATGCAGTGTATGGAACCTGTGTTCCATACTCATCCGTAGAATAAAACTTCAATCTTCCAACAAATACTTGTGGACAACAACAGGCGTGAATACAATGTGTGATAGCGTGATTTGAAACGTGTCCCCAAACGCCCTGGCGAACATCCGAAAGTTCCAGTACGTTCGGCCCTGTGAAGTGAAAGTGTAGATGAAAGGCCCCGCCCCCAAATATATCACGAAATGATCGATGTCTTCCTTAGCCAATCACATGACAGAGACGACTGTATTTCCTGCGCTCTCAACGAATCAGAAATGACAAAACACTAAAAAACACGAACTCCAACTTGTCAGCAAACAGAAGGGGGAGGGGACCAACATATGGCAGTCATATTTCTGAAGCTGAAATAATGTGTTAGACGTTTTATTGTGTTGTTTACCTCGCAGAAGGTAATTGGGTTTAAATACTCTTTGCTTGGACATTTATACTGATTCATATACGTCAGTGGGGAGCGTTTTTGCCATTTTTTGCTGAAAAAATGTAGCGGGCTAGCATGCTAATATAACTGTACTGTACAGACGGTTAGCGAGCTGCTGCTCGATTATATTAGACAGGGGGGCTTTACTGCGTACTTGCTCTATAACTTTGACAATATAAAAGCAGGTGAATAAACTGCTCCTCTAATATTGCAACACATGTTTGTAATGCCAGGAAACTGAAAATCTGCTATAAATGTGCATCGGTAGTGCGCTGTGATGGGAAGGTCCCAGAAAGTTTGAGATTTCAGGAAACTGCAATGGCGTGAGGGGGAGACAGACAGTCATGACAGCAGGTCGAGGAAGCCATGATCCGACCAGAGCAACTCTCCAAATAACACCCCTGCACCGGGCTATATGCTATATAATGGTTAATTGCAGATATCCTTTTTTTAAATAAGCGTTTTGCTTATCATTTTGCGGCCGGGTGACATTGACTAACTTACTAATTAATAGTTGCTTTGTTTTCTTATTTTTATAAGTTTTCGCCATTATGCTTTGGACATTAAAGATAGGCCTGCATGAGCGTATTTGTGCACTCAACAACAGGTTAATTGTTTATTCCTAGTTCTTCCGTTTGGGAAATTTTGTGTGAACGAACTCTAACCGTTCATAGATACGCGAATACGTAATGTAATTTTAAACAGAGTGTGTAATTAAATGTTAACGTGCCTTTACATGATACAAGTGTACCATTATCTCACCCTGTGCATTCCCTTACCCTCTTACCGTCATTATTGGCGTCTTATGATCATAATCCATCCATCCTGTTCATTTTGTGAACTGAAGCCCTGCTCGTGAGGGGGCGTGTCAATGGCTAGCGCGGGATGTTTTAGCATTGTTATGCAAATGCTGCTGGAATAACTCTATTTTAATCCTCTCTGTGTGTTTCATTTATGTGATTGTTATTATTATTATTAATAATATCAACAATAATAATGATAAAGCAAGATTTGAAAACATAATGTAACTGATTTAATAATGTATGTTTCCTTTATTTGAGCGGGCGAGTTAATACGAATAATTTGAATAAATCAATATTAGAATATAAATGTAACTGTTTGGGCAGTTAAATTTGATACTAACTCATATAGCAAGTATCAGTGTTCCCACAGTCATGGAAAACCTGTAAAAATCAGGAATTTTCAAAATGCTGTGAATGGCAGGCAAATAAATAAACAAATAAAACCGATGAAACTTCATTTAGTCAAAAAGTGTGGACCCTGAAATATCATAATACTACTGCATACATTTCCTCAGTATTATGATTATAGGCTATTTAATGATGCAATAAACCACAATAAACTGTAATGCACAGCCTCTCTTGGCTTATTGCTTTTTTTTCTTTATGATAAAAGACAACAAATGTTATGCATAGTTCCATATATTAATTAGAATAAACAGTTCTTCCATTTGTTTTTATTCCATTTGATAATTCAATTAATTAGCCTAAATGTAGCTTTGAAAAACAATTTATATATAGTTTATTAATATTAAGCCAATTAGCAATTTACAGTGACTTTGAACAAACCACCCTTTTCATAAAAATATATTTGATTTGCACTTTTTTATTATTTTGTTTCTTGTTTTGGTACTAATAAATGCAAAATGCTGTCATTTTGGATGCCAAACAATGTTTGAGTGAATCCGTCATTTACAATCGGTTCAAGCTTTTCTCCATCTCCCCCCCCCCCCCCAGATTTCCCAGCTGATAGATGTCCACCACCAATGAGCCACCAGTTGGGATGTCCCATGCTGGCCCCTCACCAGGTGCTGGCCTGTCTCCGGGGCCCATCCTAGGGCCCAGCCCTGGACCCGGCCCCTCTCCTGGCTCTGTACACAGCATGATGGGCCCAAGCCCTGGGCCCCCAAGCGTCCCGCATGCTATACAGGGCCAAGGGGCTGGAGAGTACTCACAGGACATGCAACCAATGCATAAGGTAGAGGACATTGACATCAATTATATTAGAATAGATCAATAGTTGTCTAGTAAATGCAAAAACAGAAAAATAACATAAGTACATGTAAATGTAAAAGAACTTGTTGAAGGTTCAAACGGTCCTTTTGATGTTGCCAGTATGCCTGCAGTATGTATGACTAATCTCCTGCCTCTGTTCAGCCAATGGAGGGAATGCATGAGAAGGGGATGGGAGACGATATGCACTATGGCCAGATGAAGGGGGTGGGCATGAGATCCCTGCACAGTGGCATGGGTCCTCCACAGAGCCCTATGGATCAACACAGTCAAGGTGCAATTACTTATAAGCTATAATTTAATAACAAAGCAGAAAGCACTCAGCGGTTATAATTTTAAACTGAATTATAGTTCATTATAGAGGCTCTTATTCTTCTGCCATTGAAGGATTTTAGTCTACAATGGCCTCAGAGGTAATTAAGACAGTTATCCGATAGTGTTTATTTATTTATTTTTGTGCACTTATCTTTGGTGCTGCCTTTATGTTACACTAAGTATCCTCATATCCTCATACCTTTGATCCTTTGTTCTTTACTCTCTTCATCACCAAGGGAACTTTTTCTTTTATCTGTACCTTTTACAGTTGTAAATTAATCTTTAAATGTTCATCATTAAATATTCTGAAATGAACAGTCATGGGTATAGTTTAAAAGTTGTTGATAGTAACCTCAAGATGCGGTCACATTACCGAAATTTCATTCAAATTTGATGGGCAAAAAGGTTGATTGTCAATAGTGTAGAGATGCATGAAGCACAGCTCACACAGAAGTCACTTTCAAACCAAGTAGCTTTCTGTTGTTCAACATGGTGAATTTGTGTGAGCAACTTGAAGCCTTTTCAAAATCTGTGTGGGGAACTTTTTTGCATCATGTGAAACTCCAGAGTCCACAGATTTTGCCCACGAAATTTTACAGAGCAATGGTCAATGTGACCGCACACCATAAATATTATTTAACTATGCACATGTTTTTATGCCAATTAAAATTTCTACGCATAAAACAAATAACCAGAACTTTTGAGAAATACTCTCAAAATTCATATGAGTCTTCTAGAAAAATATTTAAAATAAGAGAAAAGTAGACGGAACAACAGACATAAACAAACAACTGAACAATTTAACCGCAGTCAGCTTCATAACTACAGTATACACTTTTTTTTTTTTTTGCTTTGCTTATTAGGATACATGTCCCCTCATCCCTCGCCATTGGGCCAGGTGCCGGAGCATGTGCCTAGCCCTATGTCAGGAGGAGGGCCGAACCCGCCGCAAATGTCTCAGGGTCAGTCGCCCATGATGCCCATGGATCCGCAGGGGATGGGACAGCAGGCGAGGGGTCAGTCTGCCTTCAGCCCAATCCAGCTACAGCAACTCAGGGCTCAGATCCTGGCTTACAAGATCCTGGGCCGTGGTCAGCCTCTGCCTGAAAATCTGCAGTTAGCTGTGCAGGGCAAGAGGAGCCTCCCCACCATGCAGCAGCAGCCCGTCAATACTGGCCCCTACAACAGACCTCCAGGTGAATATGTTTTTGGCCATGTTGGTATTAGCCAGTAGCCCTTTATGTGCAGTTTTTCTTGTACAATTTATAATGATTTTAAGCCTGTTGCAGCCTGAGTGTGGTGCATGCAAAATTGGTAATCATATTAGTTTTTTTTTTTTTTTTTTTTTTTTTTGCAGTTCTTTTCCTTATAATATTCAATTCTTGTGCTGTGTTGCTAGGTATGCCAATGACTCATGGAGGGCCTGCGACTGGCCCGTGTCCCTCTCCATCCATGCAGACTCTTACCCAGAGCTCTGGGCCAAAACCGTGGCCTGAAGGTGAGTGTGGGATGCATTTTTTTATTTACTTTTGATTATACATGCATTATTTTTATTATAAAAACAGATAACAGTGCAGTGGGGAAAAACATTGTCTGCACTTTCTTCTTTTTTAACATTCTTTGCCCTACATTTAACCGACCATTTAATTAATCTGGCCAGTGGTTCAAATGTTTACTTGCCCTGCCAAAATTTTCACTGGCCCCACCCAAAAAAAAAAAAAAAAAAAGTGTTGTTGTTAACCATGCAACATTGTATTCTAATAAATAAGCCACCAAAATTTTAGGTACCTCTGAAATTCCACAAGTCTCGACTGATTCCAATTTCGATACCACAGCAAAAACTACTGGCCTAACTAATAAAAAGTAAAAAAATTATTAAAGATAAGTGAGTCTTCAGTAATAAAACAAGCAACAAAATTCAAGCAACACCTCAAATAAATACAACAGAACAAAGACACAAATGAATAAACAGTGCATTCATTTTTCAGCTAAGTTTTAAACGTATTCAGGTACAGAAATGAAATAATCAAATGTAAAATAATACTGCATAGTCTTACTCTTGACTGTATAAATGAAATATAGATGAATCCTTGTTAAAGCTACAAAATTTGTTCAGTCAAGATCAGTGAGTGATTTTCTCTTTGTCTTTTGTTGTTTGATTTGACAGACATCAAGACATCTATATGAGTGAAACTTTGAAAAACGTTAAAACTTTAAAATGAAAATGCTAAGGGGCAACCTTACAAAGGTTAAATCCCCTCTCTATGCTTTCAAGTGACAGTGTATTAATTCATGAAGTGCTATCTTCATAGGAAAGTCACTGAAGTACACGCAAATTAAAGATCATTGTTCATCTTTCTTTTTCAAGTGGTGAGTTAGTCTGGTTTAATTCCAATGCGCTGCTTATTGGCTATAGTTTTGTAAAATGTAGTTGATGTCAGCGTAGGGATGTGAATTTCTGCCAAAAATGACATTCGAAAATCGAGGAGCAAAAGTCGATTATCGGCCCTGTCCCAAATGGAACCCTAAGCACTCGCGGTCTTCCTCTGAGTCCGCACTTTCGTAACGTAATGCCGCTTTGACTGTCGGGAAGAAGTCTGCTGTGGAGTCCGCATCAGCACGGGCTCGGCAAAAGTGCGCATCAAGGGCGCAAATCGACCACACGGGGCGCTCGCGAGCACCCTTCTGAGATCTAAAAATGACAAATGGGACACACTACGGTCTCACGGACTTAACGGACACGCGCACGCGGCAGCCATTGTAAGTCCACAAGACCGAAAGTGCACATGAAGTGTGCCATTTGGGATTGGGCCATCGTTCGAAAATCGAAAAAAAAAAAAGCACACTCACAATGACAGAAAGGGAGGCCAATTTCATCTTTAGCGATTTGTCATCAAACAAACTGTTTATTATTCGAACAATTAACATGTTTTCGTTGTTTTTTTTAACATACCGGTAGTTAACATAGAAGAAAAAAACAATAAGCACGACAGTCCGTTTTTGCATCGCCAAACCAGATGCTCGTTAGATAAAATCATTATGACATTTTGTTTTTATGCAAACCTGCCTTGTTACTGCAAAAGCCTACTTTTTAAACAAATTAGTTTCAATCAAAACTATTCGTGTGATGCCACTGCGCAATACACACACATTACCGTGGGATGGCGGGTGTTCATTTCATAAACTGTGGACAATGGTAGCTTATTTAATTAATGTAGCCTATAAATGCATGTATATGTCCAAAAAACGGATAATGTCATCATACTTGTAGTGCTATCGTCAAGTAATAATCTGTTTGGTTGTAAAATGTATTACCTGAATGAAATGAACTAGATATCGTCCTGTGGAATCATTCATTCAAAGACATCATACGAAGATGTTCAACTAAGTTAGATCTTCATCGCTGGCAAAAATATGATGCATTTGCAGATTTGCTTTCACTAGACTAAACTGTAGGTCCACGGCCAGTCGGCCACTTCATCCAACGCTCTTGATGTTCTCAAATCTTCCTAGTTACGACTCCGTGTCGAGTGTGAATTGAAAGCGCTTCAGATAATTCAGTGCGCGAGGAACTGAACAGATCATTCAAACTGATTCGCGAACCGATTTAGACAGAAATGCCAACTTGTTTGATGATGTCTTTGAACAGAATCGACTCAAAAGAGTGATTAATTTGTGAATGGAGCATCGCTCAAGCCCATAAAAAGACACAGCGCGCTTGGAATAAACTCATTTAACAACATGTATTGCATTAAAATAAAGTAACGAGAGGAACGTCGCCCAACGTAGTGAAGTAAATGTAGCCTACTTTGTTACTACCATAGACGGTTACTACCATAGACAGTAAAGGTTAGTCTACTACCCACCTCTGTTGGGCGCAGAGTTAACGGTCACGACAATGCTCTTCTTCTGTTGTTTGTTTACACTATGTATAAAACACTGGTATCCTAGATCGCGCAGGAGGGGGTTTCATTCATGTTAGTGACACCTTGTGTCCCTGACAGGAAAAATACCCTGCTGCGCGATCTGTGACAGTAGGCGCGCTGTCAATTATGTCACATTGGAATTGCGCGAAAATATAACGATATTCGAATAAGCAATTTTAAGATCGAATTTCGAACACAGTTCGACTATTCGAAGATCGCGACTCATGTCAGGTCAATTGACGTTTTCACTGCATTTTATGAAATGCCCTCATTGCGGGTTCAGAAACTGATTGATTGACCTCAGCCAGAGATAAAGATCCAGAGACTTTTCTTTTTTTTCTGAACACACTCTTGTATCATCTTTTGTGTGCATGCTCTCATTTAGGGATCTCATGCCCTTCATGCAGTTTCTTTAAAGCCATTGAACTTGACTTGAAAGAGGTCATAAGAGTTTTTGTAAAGATTTTTCATTTCAGAAGTGGACGTCAGTTCGTGCTTTGAACTGTCTTAAAACCTGCCAACAATAGCTTTGATGTCCTCTTTGAGTATGATCAAACATCCTAAAGGCAATGGACTACTGAATTATATGACATTACTTATGCTGTTTCATTATGGCTCATATATCTGACAACAGCATTGTGGACTAGAAGCTTAATGCATTTTTTGCATTCAGTAGCATTTCTTTGACAGACATGACATTTTGATAAATCTCACAAGACGTTTACAAAGCACATCTCCTGTCTTTTCAGGTCAAGGTGCAGAGACCCCCAGCACTCCACAGAAGCTGGCGGTCCCAGCGCCCAGCGGCAGACCCTCTCCAGCTCCCCCGCTGGCCCCCACCGGTGCACAACCTGTGCCCAGCACCTCTCTCACCTCCCAACCCCAACCTCAGCCACCGTCTGGACCAGGCCAGCCCTCTCTCATCATCCAGCTCCAGCAGAAACAGAATCGCATCACCCCGATTCAGAAGCCTCAGGGTCTGGACCCTGTTGAACTCTTGCAAGAGAGGGAATACCGGTATGTAACGAGTAATTAATTTCAAATTTCAATTTCAATCGTTATCGTTAATTGCATTTTTTTATTTTATGATGTTTTCTGAGGTGCACTTATAATGTTAGGACAATTTTTACATCAAAAATGGTTCTTAACTCACAATTTTTTCCCCTCTCTGATTTAAACACTGCATTTAAAGGGGCGTCCCTCAGTGTAAACGCCTACTGCTATGATTGGGTAGCATTTTGCATATGAAATAAGTATTGCATATGGAACTCTTTTGGGAGTTATACGGTGCATGTTTCTGCACTGCTGTCGGGTCTATATATTTCCGAAAAAGTCTGTTCGGAAAGCCTGCGTCAAATTGTCAGTAGTTTACCAAAAAATCAATAGTGAAATGAACCGAAAAAACAAAACAAATAATGCTCTACTGAGACAATCACATGGTTTTAAATAAACAGCCACTCTCCTATCATTTGGATGCTCTGGAAGGTAATGTTATCTTAGTCCATTGATCCTGTTGTAGTATCTCACTCTTCTATCCTGCTATCATCTGACTAACATGCTCCAGTGTGTGTGTGTGTGTGTGTAATTGGGGGGAAGAGGGGGGGGGGTGACGATGAAGAAGTAGGCGTTGTTCTGTGTCTGTGTAGGCAGTGTGGCGCTGATGTATTCATCTCTATTACGTCATAAGAACAGGGAAGTATAAAAATATTGGTTATTAGTTGTTTTTGGACTAATGAGGAAATTTTGAGCTCTGAAACAGTATGTTTTTATAATACAATGAGGTCTTTAATTTCAAAAGATCAGGAAAGTTTTGAATTTTTTTAATTCATCACCTTTTTAATTTACAGTTAAAGGCAGCACAGTTTTACCACACATTACCGCAGCTAGACAATCACATTTGAGTACAGATTCAAGCCTGTAAACCTATCATCCATTGCTCTCCTGTCAGAACTATTGTTGTTTTGGGGGGTTTTGCGAGCTGTAATGAATGTTAGAGGTTTCCGAAAGGTCCTCAGAACTTGGTTGATTACACTGGCTTGCACTATCTGAAACAACAGAAAGGTGTTAATTGTTTGATGTACCTTGAGGTCACCAACACACACTTTTTTTAACACTGTGAAAGTTTCAGAGTGAAAGTTTCAGATCTTGCTGGTAATTTATAATTTGGAGAACTCTAAGGTTACTAGAAATTATTAATGTCTAGAAAGTTCACCTTCAAAGACATCTCTGTTCAACAATAAGTCTGGTGATATGTGCTTGTTTGACAGTTTTTGCTTTCATTTTTTCACTTAATGACCACTAGAATTCTCTGTTATTCTTGAAAGAAAAAGATAGTGCTAGTATTCAATACATCTGTCCTTCTCATTTATGGTCAAAGACTTCAGGCCAGGATTGCTCACAGAATTCAGGAGCTGGAGAATCTTCCGGGGTCGCTGCCGCCTGATCTGAGGACGAAAGCAACCGTGGAGCTGAAGGCCTTAAGACTGCTCAACTTCCAGCGGCAGGTTTGGTCAATGACATGACACTCATTTTGTCTTATCTATTCATTTATTTAAAAAAGCAATTCATAGAACAATGCAAGTACCTCTTTAATAATGAGCATGTTTTTAATTTCTGTATTAAAATGTAAATGTTATTATTCTGTATAAAAAAAATTGTGATTTCTTTCAGGGGCATACGTGATGCAACTGTCTGATATCACAACGAAGAGAAAATAAATAAAACAAAAACAAAAATCTTGAAAAGAACATTTATTAAGTAGTTTAGCATAATCTTTAAACTTCTCAACTGCTTTTTAATATTAATGTCATGTGGTGCAACTCTTAAAGATATTTATGAAATAATATTTCATGACATTTTTTAAAAAAGGTCTTACCTTAAAAAATATATTTGCATTTTTCTTTTTTTTTGAAAATAGGGATTACGTATGGAAGCTTGTTTCCGGCACAGAATGAAAAATAAAAAAGGCAATTGCGACTTTTTATCTCACAATTCTGACTTTTTTTTCTCAGAATTGCGAGATATAAAGTCAGAATTTATTGATATAAAGTCGCAATTGCAGGTTATAAAGTCAGAATTGCGAGATATAAAGTCAGAATTTATTGATATAAAGTCGCAATTGCAGGTTATAAAGTCAGAATTGCGTGAAATAAAGTCGCAATTGCGTGTTATAAAGTCAGAATTGCGAGATATAAAGTCAGAATTGATTGATATAAAGTCGCAATTGCGTGTTATAAAGTCAGAATTGCGTGATATAAAGTCGAAATTGCGTGTTGTAAAGTCAGAATTGTGAGATATAAACTATTCTGAGGGGGGAAAAGTTCGTCTTTTTCCCCCCTTAGAATTGGCCTGATAACTCGCAATTGCGAGTTTATATCTCACAATTCTGAGAAAAGATGTCAGAATTTCTAGATATAAACTCGCAATTATGTGTTATAAAGTCAGAATTGCGAGATGTAAACTCGCAATTGTGAGAAAAAAAGTCAGAATTGTGAGAATTGTGTCGGAATTCTGTCTTTTTTTCTCGCAATTGCGACTTTATTTCTCATAATTGCGACTTTATTTCTCAGAATTGCGACTTTATATCTCAGAATTGCGACTTTATATCTCGCAATTGTGACTTTATTTCTCACAATTCTGACTTCATATCTCGCAATTGTGAGATAAAAAGTCACAATTATTATTATTTATTTTTTTTCAGTGGCGGAAACAAGCTTCCATAATTACGAGTTTTCAGGATGTAAGGAAATTATGTTTTTATTATTATTATTGATGGTCACACCATAGGTCATTTTTAGATTTATAGAAATTAAGCTTTTTCTTTAAAAATGGTCTAAAAGTGTTTCAGAACCATTAACATACTTACATATCTTTGACCCAGAAATAAATGTCAATAATAATGAAAATAATAAGTGCTCTAATAATTTTCTCTTTCACTGGTGCATATAATTGATACAATTTAGATAAAAGCATATTTCCAGTAATTTATTACACAATTTGGAGACATCTCTCACCGTTGCCTTTGCTTTACAAGTCATGAAATCATTTACAATACGACAAGTGAAAATTGCTCATGCATGTTTTTGATTTTCTGGTTCCATTGAGCTTTGTCCTATTCACATTGTGTGGATGGTTATAGTGTCCAAAGTTGTGCTATGAATGTTTAATTTACCCTGTGCAATGAAATGCACCATTAGAGGGCACCCTTGTTGTATTTCGTTGCACTCAGTCTCCTCACAATTCACAGCCTTGTTCTACTATAATTAACTATCATAAACAAAATATGTGTGAAATGCATCAGAATATGATTATCATTTGATGAAGCTCATTAGCTTAATGCATTTTGCCACAGATGACTATGATTGATTTTTTTTTCTCTCTCAGCTGAGGCTAGATGTTGTAGCCTGCATGCGCCGAGACACAACTCTGGAGACTGCCCTGAACTCCAAGGCCTACAAGCGCAGCAAGAGACAGACCCTGAGAGAAGCTCGCATGACTGAGAAACTAGAGAAGCAGCAGAAAATCGAGCAGGAGAGGAAGCGCCGACAGAAACACCAGGTGATCAATGAATGATCAGTGTACTAAGTGTGATCAAATAAATGGACTGAACATACTCAATATACTGATAAAACAATAGACAAGCTCACACACCAAAATGCTCACATACACAATTCATGTGCTTACATATTGAATACTGATAAAGGTCAGGGGTTCAGACTGTGACCAAATGGTCACATTCTGCGACCTTTTCTCCTGCCGGTGTGACAACATTTTGTTAGAGGTTGCACTGATGCCAGCAGCACGTTGCTTAACTGATAAGACCTGCCATTTCTGTTACATATGAGAAACATCAAATGGCAAATGAAACGCAACTGCACTACTCGTTTGAGACTCAGAACAGATTTACTCGCGGGACGATCTCGAGCATGTGACACCATTACTACACAGAGCTGGGATTAATAACACCGCAGCAAGATCTAGTGGGAAGCATTCAAATTCGGTCCAGAAACCAGGAGAAACATTGTACCATGAAGTTATAGAAAGCACTTCAGTCCACAAATCACCAACATTCACCATAGATTTAATGTAGTAACGCTAACTGTAACCACGTATTGTAGCAGAAATAGTCGAATGATGTTGTTTTTTTACATTAGGTTATTCATATCAGGGTTCGTACAACCTTTTGAGAGCGAAATTCAGGCACTTTTCAAGGGCTTTCAAGTGCTTCAAACTTTTTCCAGCACTACAAACCTCTGAATATTATCTAATTATAATGTTATTTTTAATGTGATGATTTATAAAACTAAAAGTTTAATGATGTAGGAAAACTAACACATAATTAAAGAGCATATTGCAGGTTAAAAAAAAATCTAAATTAATATATAACCTTGTATGAAAATACCATATGAAAAGGTAATGCAGGATTTAAAATGTTTTAAAACGACATAAGGGCACAAATTTAGTAGATAAAGTGAGCGTTTCTTTGACTGCTCGTAAAAAACGTTTTTTTTTCAACATCGCATCATTTTACGTCACCAGAGGGAGGGAGCATCAGCAGCGCAGATAGGTTTGTATTCAGTACAAGCGGGTAAATTTGCTTTTTTATACTCAGAATGACAATTTGGAATGTAAAGAACAACATATTATACAGTTATTTGTTTTATTAGGAAAATACCATATACATAAAAAGAATTGGGCTTTTTTTCACGTTTTATAAATGACGACTTCACATTATATGTACATCTTTTGGAACAAACAAAAACAAAAAAGCAATGAAAACATGTAATGCTTTGAAAGCACTGGATTTTATTCAAAACTTTTTTTGTATTTTTTATTTCCTGGCAGCTAATGTTAATGTGATATTGTGAATATGTACATGTTCTTGTGGCATCGAATTTTAAAAAAAAGTCAGTAAGAGCGGTCGTGAATCAGTGTTTTCGGTAGTTTTTGTATTTTAATTTATCATCGTCATCATGGTAAATTATTGTGTTTGTGGAGGTTGCAAAAACTCCGGCCTGTCAGGACATCGAGTCAGGTTTTCTAACAAGAAAAGGGACGGTGCTGTATATCTTTCGTGCCTGTGTGCGGTTTGTGCAGCTGTGGAGACAGGATTTCTCTTCCGCATCGGCTTCGAAAAACGCGATCGTGTGTAGCGTAGCCTACACCAGATCTGAGGAACAAAAACGTGTATATCAGGAATAAAAATATCTATCTGTCTCTCGATGAGAAACCGCTAAGTTATATCACGTAACGTTAGTCTGGACGGATATTAATGAGCAGGACATAGGCCTACGCGCCTGATCAATATAGTTTATTCTGTTATTGGTAAATTCCAATACTCCTAGATGACCAATAATAGCTTTGCTATTAACTGATATACGATGGTAATAATCGATATACACCTCACATTTTACCAAACAGAATGAACGATGCACTATTAACTCTATTACACTATTAATTAAAACTCACAGTGAACAGCATTAAATATAAAAACACATATGCCTTACCTTTTTGTTGCAGTGCAGTTTTTATTGCAGTGGTATAATGTTTTGCCAACAGCACTACAGTCCTCATTTTTTATTGCTGCTTCCATTCTCCTGTCCTGATTGCTATTATTTAATTATTTATTTCTTCGTTAAAAAAAACATCCAGGAAAGATAGGCCTGTTCTTTTAACGTTTACTCAGTATCTGACAGCTAGGCTAATCAAAAATATGCGCGATTAAATGATGCAATAAACTGCGGCTGCGTACACTCACTCCACACAAGTTTTTTTTATAATAATACTTTTGCAATAATGTGTGTCTCCTCTGACCGTTGTTCTGTCTAACATTAATCCTCTCTCGGCAGCATAGCAGGCTCATAATTGTAAGGCTGTCGTCCGTGGTCTGTCATACGAGTAAGTCCGAAATGTCATTGCGATCCATTGTTTTCCTGTTGTTTGAATGGTTTGAATCGACCGCTCTCCCGCCCGTTACGTCACGCCCGTCACGCCCATTTTCAGATGCGGAAGTAAAATTCTCTCACAAAAACGACTCCAGAAGCCAATGTAACGTATTTATAAGTATATTTTAACGAAAATCTAATTACTACATTGTTTTTCTATACATTGACTCGTTGGGTCCTCTAACCTGCAATATGCCCTTTAAGCCCTTTTATTTTAAAAAAAGACATGCAATTATCACTATAACCAGTAGATGGTGGTAGAGGAGCACTTATTTGCCATTTCCACTCCCTAATATATGGAAAAAAGTACAAAGTCACAAAGTCTCATGAAAAACAAAAACTTTTCTTCAAATTGTGACTGATTTACACAGAAAACAAGTAAAGAGAGCTCCTTTTATAATCACTGAAGCTGTCTGCCAGTTCAATATGATACAATATAAGAACAATGGTCAATTTAAGAGTATAGAATATTCAAATTGTTCATATAAAGATGAGGGTTTTTGCACATTACTGTTGTTAATAATTTTTTATTTATCTGCATATCAATTCAAGTTCAGTCCTTCACTGTTAAATTCCCAATAAACAAACATGTACTTTTATTAGTAACTGCATTTATTAATGCAAAACTATAGTAATTTTATGGTTAAATTAGCTTTATGATAAATTTTCCCCCAGCTACCAAATCAGGTGTTGGCGTCACCATCTGGAGAACTTAGTGGCACCAGTGCCATTGCTTTCAAATGTTAGTCTGGAGCCCTGAGGGAGCTTTTAAGAGGGGTCATATCATGAGGAATCAAATTTCCTTGGCCTGCCAAGTCAAACTGAGGCAATAAGAAGGATGTAGGATAACGCTCTCCTAAACACCAGAATAACTATGGAGACTAAAAGGATTGAATATTGAATAAAGGATTGATACACACTCTTCCTGGCAGTGTGTAAAACCTGACCATCTGCCTGACCTTCTGAAGATTCCTAGCTTTAGAAACAAGTGGCTAATTAAGATGTTTTCAAAACAGTTTGTGCTGCACATTTGATCCAGATTGTTTATGAACCTGTTATTTTTTACTTTCTAATCACCAAAGAATCCTGAAAAAAAGAAGAAAAAAAATGTCCACAAAAATATTCAGCAGCACAACTGATTTCAACATTTTAACAAGAAATGGTTTTGAAAAGAAAATCAGCATATTAGAATGATTTCTGAAGATTCATATGGCACTGAAGACTGGAGTAATGATGCTGAAAATTCAGCTTTGCCACCACAGGAATTAAATACATTTTTAAAATATATTAAAATAGATAGCAGTTATTTTAAATTGTAATAATATTTCACAATATTACTGTATTTTTTCTTTAAAGGCACACTATGCAAGATTTGTACCTTAAAGCTGCAGTCCGTAGCTTTTTTGTGTTAAAAATTATCCAAAATAAATTGAGCAAGAACAAATCCAGCCAGTGTTTAAAACTATCTGCTTGCCGTAGCTCGATTCAAAACGGTAAGCTTGTAATAATGTTTTTTAATTCCAGTGGTACTGGTGGATTTCCGCGGGAGATTCGAGCATGTCTTTGCGTCATTACGTCACATCTGTACACATAAAGAAGGAGTCTCGGCTAGTAGGCTATATTGCGTGTGAGGATGCTGAAGGTGGAGATTTATAGCCTTTTCTCACTGCACTTGATATAATTAAACGTAATGACGGCGGATCCAGAAAAGAAACCGGGCCCAAAAAATATCTAAAGGGCATTAAAGGTATTGTAGGTAGAATTTTTAAAAAAAACTTTTTGCCAAATTTGTTTAAACTTTCTATATATATCAATGCATAATTAAAATGTAAGTACTCTGGAAAAGAGAGTATAAAAATCGAGTGTCTGTAGTCCTCTCAGGGCTGTAATAAACACAGCTACTTATCTCCATTCACTTCCACCCCCTCCATTCTGGGCTCCTTCCAAAACCACGCCCCCAAAACACATGAACGTGCGATGCCGACAGCTCACAGCTGGAGGACGCGCTTACCAGCGCCGAGCGGAGAGGAGCAGTGCATGTAGACTCACATGTAATAAAATACCTAACTTTATCATTATGAATATAAACAACTAACATGGCTGTTAGTACTCACTATCAAGCTAGCATATCGATACTGGTAAAGTTTAAAATATATTGAGTTTGATTCGTTAACGAGCTAGTAACATAATGCAAAGCTAAAAACAGGTTGCATTGATACACGTTTTCCCATTACAATCAGTTACACTGTGATGAAGGTGAATTTCGTGTAAGATTCATAACATATACGCCGTGTTTTGCATGTAGTTGTGTCTCTTACTAGTCTCTTACCCTCCTTGAGTCAAACGAGTGCGCGCATGTAGCAGCGGGGGTGTTGCCATGGTTGCGAGAGAGTGACAGTCGCCTAAGCCAATCCTTTGTTTCGTCCCGGAAGGAAATAATGAGCTGTGTTTAGTGCAGATTAAACGGTCTAGAGTCACTCGATTTTTATACTCTTTTTATCAGAGTACTTACATTTTAATTATGCATTGATATATATAGAAAGTTTAAACAAATTTGGGAAAAAGTTTTTTAGACCAAAAACGACCTACCCTACCTTTAAATGTAGTCACGCAATGCTGATGTTATCAACATTACAATTTGAGAAGAAAGTATAATTTGCACGGTTTTACGTGATATGATAAGCGATCGTTATATTTAATCAGCGCGATTTACTGCAATGCTTTTTTCCCTTAGTTGGTCAGAACAAAAGTGGATGTTTCTTACTTGTTCAGATGACATTTTCCGGTAAAAATTCTTATGTTGGTCATACTTCCAAAAAGTATAATCTGTGATTCTGAATGACAGTATCCACAACGGTGCGGTGACTGACAGCCACACATTCTCCTCAAAACATCGGATTCATCCACGCTGTGCCGTGCCGAGGCACAACTCACGTAAAGTTGATAATTCCGCAAATAACTGCAATTGCAGATTTCGACCAGAGATGGCAACAAAGAGGAAAAACTACGGACTGCAGCTTTAATATAACAGCTTCGAAGTCATTTCGATGGTAAACAAACTCGTAGTAGGGCGAATCATCCCGATAGCAAAGCAGGGGGGACGCCGCTGGCAAAACCGGCAAAACCAGCAACGCAGGTTTGAGAGGGCCAAATCTCGTGAGAATCACGACTTGCTTTACGGCACGACGTCACATACATCAACAACATATGAAGCAGCCTCTTTGGAAGACACTAGCACGCATTTCAGACGTGAATCATGGCAGAGTCGACGAAGAAAACGAAGAAAGCGCGATCAGAAGAGTGCAGAGACGGCTCTGCGTGAGTGGTATTTACGATAGTAACGTTAAATACAAGTACTCCACAGTGACTCTAGAGGTCGCTGTTTGACAAAGACGGAAACTGCATAGTATGCCTTTAAAAAAACATTAAGCAAAAAAAACAAAAAAAACATTTTAAAATCCATCAGAAAGAAAATTCATAAAACTAAAAGCATTATATGACCTGTTTAGAACACAAATGGTTGAGGAGTTTTAAAGTGGCTTTGCTCTTTGATTCATGCTGTGTCATTCTTTTCTTCTTGTAGGAGTATCTCAACAGCATTCTGCAGCATGCAAAAGATTTCAAGGAATATCACAGGTCCATCTCTGGAAAAAATCAAAAGCTGTCCAAAGCCATTGCTACCTGGCACACTAACACAGAGAGAGAGCAGAAGAAGGAGACTGAAAGAATCGAGAAAGAGAGGATGAGGAGACTGATGGTATGAAGCACCATTTCTAGCATCATTATACAACTTTCTGTTTCATTGTCTTCGCTGCCTTCGCATAAAAATGGGCATACACCACAACATACTGTCCAGTTCTTGAACAAATCACTTAACTGGTGCTTTTCCTTCTATTGATCATTAATTCATTCTTTTTAATGAATTACTTTAATGATTTAATTAACTGATTGTGATTGGTGATTCACTCTCAATTAATCACAGAGACTTAATCATAGACTGAACTCACTACTACACTGAATTGGCTCAGATGACTTTCTCGCATATGTCTCGAACTTAAAGATAAACATTTTCCCTTAAAGGTTCTCATAGGCTCTCTGTCTGTTTTCCTAGGCGGAGGATGAAGAAGGTTACAGGAAGCTAATTGACCAGAAGAAGGACAAGCGTCTTGCCTACCTTCTTCAACAGACAGATGAATATGTGGCCAACCTGACTGAGCTTGTCTATGAGCACAAGGCTGCTCAGGCTGCAAAGGAGAAGAAGAGGAAGAGAAAGAAGAAAAAGGTATAGAAAATAATCGAAAATAATCCATAAAATCACTTATTCTCAAGTTTAATGTAGTAAGTTATACAGTTTTATTGGGTTCAATTCCGTTTATACCACTGTGTTTTTTTCTTTACGATCATCAAACACTCGATGCTTGCTAATTTCTGTCATGTTTAACCTTCAGAAGGAAGCTGGTGAGGCCGAAGGAATGGGAGCCATCGGGCCTGATGGAGAGGTAAGTAAATTGCTATGCAAATGAAAGCAGAGTAGATGTGAATAACTGACTGATGTTTGATCCTAATGGTAAACTCACTCTGTCAAACCTAATCTAACATGGCCTGTCACAGAAAACCTGCTTTTATGTTTACTTATTCGTGCAGCCCATAGATGAGAACAGCCAGATGAGCGAGCTGCCAGTCAAAGTCATTCAGACAGAGACTGGGAAAGTGCTGCAGGGGACAGATGCCCCCAAGTCCAGTCAGTTAGAGGCTTGGCTCGAGATGAACCCTGGGTAAGCTATCCTCACATTGCATCCTCTGTGTGTCTGGTAATTGAAAACATTTCCATTAAAGTATGACCAGTCACTTGGATTGAGCTATGAAGCTGCAGTGAGCCATGTGTTTACAGCACTATGGGGAAGAAAATGATGAAAGGGATGCACTGAAATTTTAGTCACTGTAGAAACGGGAAAATATGCTACTTGACTACTCACCAAATAAATAAATACATAGACATTGAATATAATTTGTATAGAAATTATTGTGCATGTATATCATCCTAAAACCTCTGCTAAGAACACAATAATATTACAATAATATTAAAGAATCCAAATGATGCTTTTTAACGTTTACTTTTCCTTTAGTGTGTAATGTATATGTTTGCGCATGTAAGATCTGCAAAGTTAAAAAGCTCATAGGTCAAAAAGCAAATAATTTTTTTTGTATATATATAAATACACACATATGCATGTATATATTTAAGAAGAATGTGTTATTTATATATAAAATATGTATTATAATATGTATAAATATTTAATATATACAGTACATACATGCAAATATTTCTTAATATATATATATATACATGCATATGTGTGTATTTAAATATACAAAATAATTATACACAGTATAAATATATTATGTAAACACAAACTTTTATTTTGGATGTGATTAATCGCGATTAATCGTTGCCCAGCACTAATATTGATATATTGTACAGACTCGATATACCGCCCAGCCCTAATGGAGGTGCCGCAATAATGTGCAGAATGTGAAAAATAATGTTTTTTTGAACATTAAAGCATGTTAACCTATTCTAGTGCAACGGCCACAACTCAACATCCAGTCAAGTCATAGAACCAAATCCCTGCCTTGTTTTTTTTTTCTTTTTCAACAAACTGTTACACTCGGATGTACATCACAATACCAGAGAGACAGGGAATACAATTCAGTTGTGAACTGATTAACATTTTATTTTTGTGTAATCACTTATGAAATCTTAAAAAACTACATAGAAATAATAGAATAATGTTACAATTTTGTAAAAAATAGCATTTTCATGTGTCCATGCATTTTGGATAAAAAATACCTATCCAACAGAGACTGTAGCTTTGTGCAAACCTCCTGTGTAGCAGACCTTTAATTTAGCTGTGGGGGAAAAAGCTTGGATAACAAGCACCTTTTTAAGCTTGTGTTGTCAATAAACCCTTTTTCAGGCTTCAAGTGTTTACTAGTGCATTATGCCCTTTTAAACAGCTATGAAGTTGCTCCCCGGTCAGACAGTGAAGAGAGTGGCTCGGAATTTGAAGAGGAGGTGAGTGTCCTCTTATTTCTGCTCATTGAGCATTGTCAGCTCCTTGGTGTGGAGTGAGTCATACATAAGTACACAAACTCACACACATTATTATCCCTTTCTCTGCATTCATAAAGCATCTCCCATAAGCCTTTTCAGTATCTGCCTTAGTAGCCCCTTTCTTTTCTGAATATGCCGGTATATTGTGTAACTCAAGCAATCACAGTGCATTAAATGAGCATAATCCGCTAATACTCCTTTTTAGGATGATGAAGAGGTGGTCTCCAGAGCCGAATCCGAAGAAAAGAAAGTCATCGATCCCAACAGTGATGAAGTATCTGAAAGAGCAGCCAAGCACATCATAGAGTATGTTGCCTGTTCTCACTTCAAAACAAAAAATGCCTTGTTGAACTGGATTGAACTTAATATGTACAGGGGGGTTCAAAAGTTTCTATTTAACAATTTTCGGATTTTCTACACTTTTTTGCATTGCAAATTATATTATCAGTTTGACGAGTTAAGCGAAAAGTGGAATTTAAAGGGATGGTTCAACCAAAAATACTCAACCTTAAGTTGTTTCAAACCTGTATTCATTTCTTTCTTCTGCTGAACACAAAAGAAAATATTTTGAAGATTGTTTGTATCCAAACAGTTGATGGGCCCCATTGACTTCCATTTTTTTTTTTTTTCATACTATGGAAGTCAATTGGTTCCAACAAATGTTTGGTTACAAGCACTCTTCAAAATATATTCTTTTGTGTTCAGGAGAAGAAAGAAATTCACACAGGTTTGGAATAACTTAAGAATGAGCAAATGATGACAGAATTTTCATTTTTGGGTGAACTATCCCTTTAAGTATATCTCTCAGTATTTTTACTTTACGACAGCTGCAGTTGACCTGCAAGTTAAGTTTGTGTAAAACCTGATGATCATGTGATCCAGCATGATTTGAGATGAGCTTCTTAAGATTCAAGGGAACCATGAACATCTGACCGTCTTTACAAAGAGTCACATGTTCAATGTCTCAAATGTAATCTGATTAGTGATAAAAAACTACAGTGCAGAATTGTAAATATATTTTTGTCATAACGTTTATTTGTTTGAATTAAAATCGTTTATTTCCAGGTTTAATTTGTATTTGTTCTCAAACTTTTAGACCTCACTGCACATGCAATAATTATTTGGGAATAATTGAAAGTGCCAGATGGGGTTACAGTATCTCGGGAACGGCTGATCTCCTGGGATTTTCACACACAACAATCTGTAGAGTTTACAGAGAGTGCTGTGAAATCTAAAAAGCACCCAGTGAGCAGAGGTGAAAAGTCCTTGTCAATAAAAGAAATATCGAAGAAGAATGGGTTGACAGGAAGGCGAAGTAACTGAAAAAATCCCCACACACATTACAACAGTGCTGTGCAGGAGAGATTGTCCGAATGCACAACACATTCAACCTTGAACTGGATGGGTTTTAGCAACAGAAGAGCACAACGGATTTCGAAATATAAATCCATAGATGTGTTCTGCCTTGTGTCTGTGGATCATGCTGATGGTGTTAGGAAATACAAACGAAGCATTGTATGAATGGCACGGTCTACTTGCGTATTGTAGTAGTCGGCAGAACCTATGATTACATAGTCTGCATGCATTTTCTGCAAAATAAATTTGGGGTGTTTTTTGTAAAGCCATTTGTGAAGACAAAAGGCATGTGTCATTTCAAGCTGGTTTAAGATATCCACCAGTTTTCAACACGAGCGGTGGAGTGGCAGATCATGTCAACATGGACCAGAATCTCTATAGATTATTTCCAGCACCTTGTTGAATACTTGCTGTGAAGAATTCCGTTCTACCCATTTAAATGTATGGATTCGGCAGACGCTGAATATTCAGTGTTACATTGGATTCTATATGTTTTATCAGTACATGTGTCCTCCAGGAATTGAAATTCATGACCTTTGCATTGATAGCACAATGCTGACCAGTATGTAATTAATAAAGTGGCCACAGGCTGTATATAGAGCATATTGCATATTTCTATTCCCCTTTAAATTGTTATGTATCCAGTTTTAGTTTATTTATTCTACATAGGAAACAAACAAAAGTTTTAGTGAAAGTTGAAGTTTTACTGAGCTTGTAAATGATAGTGCAATTGAACTAAGGACCTGCTCTGTTTGAACTTAATATTTTAAAAATAAACAGCTAAATAGCATTATTTGACAAATAAATACTGGGTAACATGGCAGGTGTTATTTTTTTTTATAAAAAAAATTGTTTTCAATTCAACTGCCATTGGCAGGTGTGGTTTATCCAAAAATGGTTATTCAGGAGTCAGCCTTATGTCCCGGTTATCTTCAAAACACCCAAAACTTTTGATTTTTTTTTTTTTTTTTTTTTTGAAGAGACACAATCGCTTCACATGATTCAATTTTGGCGTTTATTCATTTATAAACACTGATCGACAAGCTCACCTATGCTTACTTGAGAGAACCAATGATTTTTGATGCGTGAACGTTTTCTTTACTTGGAATTTCAATGGATGGACAACTATGATGAGAGAATATTAAAAATATCTTAATTTGTGTTTCAAAGATGAATGAAAGTCTTTGGGGATAATGACCCTGGGTCATTCTAAACCCGGGTAAACTGAATCCTGGCTGGGTTATCTTGCTTCACGTTTCACATTGCTTATAATATACACGTGGTTAACAATTAATCCTGGGTATTCATAAGCTGACGTTTCACATTGTACATTCCTAAACCCTGGGTTGACGTACTTATTTGCATATTTGCGGGGTCAGTGCCATTGATTGGATGAACGCAGCACTCGACCTGTTTACAGAAAAGCTAAATTACAATTGTGAAACGCTCCTTTACCTGAGGTTAAAAGCAGTGTTTAGAACGACGATAACCCGGGGTTAAGCGCAGTTTGAAATGCCCTAATGAGGATGTGTAAGTGATAACATCATTTTTATTTTTGGATGAACTATCCTTTTAATGTTGGATCCTGTGTTGCAGTTCTGCTAAGCAGGATGTGGATGACGAGTACAGTGTTCAGGCGGGAGAGACCAGCTCCCAGTCTTACTATGGAGTGGCCCATGCAGTCATAGAGAGGGTGGACAAACAGTCCACCCTTCTGATCAATGGGACCCTCAAACATTACCAGGTAAAGCAACAAATAAACCAAGCTTTAAATAGACTCCTCAACAGATACATTATTCTTGGAATCCATCTTCTCTGAAGAGAGCTGTGTTGGTTTAAATGATATTTCAAGGGATTATACTCTAGAAATGGAAGAGGCTGGAGGAAAGAAATCACTCAGAGAGGAAATTTAAAAAATTTAGTAGCTTGTATTGAATCTGTTAGCCCCTTTGGGCAGTAATGGATTTCAAAAGGAGAAACAGACCTGTTATCTCCTGTTTATCCTTTGAAAGAATTAAGTGAGCACTAGGATTCATGCTTTATTTATTCCACTTGGCATCTGTGAAAAAATAATTGGATCTATTGTGCCATGTTCTGGAATCCGTGTGTCGTGTGTCCGCTCGGTTGTCTGTTTGTGATGCTTTTAAGATATTACCGCCAAATAATGCAAATCTTTTTGTTCAGATCCAGGGTCTGGAATGGATGGTGTCTCTGTACAACAACAACCTGAATGGTATTCTGGCCGATGAGATGGGTCTGGGGAAGACCATTCAAACTATCGCCCTTATCACCTATCTGATGGAAAACAAGAGGCTCAATGGGCCGTACCTCATCATCGTACCGCTCTCGTAAGTCCAACTAGCAAGATGCAAATAATGTGATAAGAGGTGTAATGAAGTGAAATGTCTAAGAGGATTTGCAGTGCAATGGCTTCATTAGGTAGCTAAACACTATTACATACAGTTCAGTTGACCTCTAATGACTGAAAACGCTGTGATAGTGATTTGTGATGTTACATTTTTAAGGTGACATATGGCAGTGCTACAAGTCACTGAACAGTTGTCATATTGATCATGCATGGTTAGTTGGACATTGAATTAAATGGTACAACATATTTTACAAGTTATATTGATTGATTTGTGCAACGGCCAGAAATGTCCTCAAACAGCTTTACCTCACACCTATCATTAACTCTGCTCCACTATCACACCACCACATATCATTTAGAGAAATTACTTCATTTAGAGGTAAAACATTTATTTGTTTATTCCTTCTAGTATAAAAAAATGACAATATTGATTTTCGTTTTTTTCATAGGACTTTGTCTAACTGGGTTTATGAGTTGGACAAGTGGGCACCAAGTATTGTGAAAATTTCCTACAAGGTAGTCATTGATTTTTATTATCAGTATGTATAGTTACTGTGGACAATTACATGTTATGATGTAATATAGCTTTTAGGTAATAAGTTAATTGCGATTTCTGTTTTAATTCGTCAAAGGGCACACCATCAATGCGGAGGTCTTTTGTGCCGCAGCTCCGCAGTGGGAAGTTTAATGTCCTTATAACCACCTACGAGTACATCATTAAAGACAAGCACATTCTCGCCAAGGTAAAGGTCATGCATTTACGTTTGCATTTGCAGACACTTGCATCTAAAGTGCATTCTTCCATTTAAAAGTTTGGGGTCAGTATTACAATTTAAAATAACTTTTATTCATTTATTCAAAAAAGTTTTATTTTTTATATATTTTAAAATATAATTTACTCCTGTGGTGGCAAAACTGAATTATCGGCAGCATATTCCAGTCTTCAGTGTCACATGATCCTTCAGAAATCACTCTAATATGCTGATTAGCTGTTTTTTTATCGTAATTCTTTGAATAGAAAGCTCAAAAGAACAGCATTTGTTTAAAATAGAAATCTTTTTTAACAGTACAAAAGGCTTTACTGCCGTTTAGATCAATTTAATGCATCCATGCTAAAAGTTCATTTCTTTCAACAAAAAAAAAAAAACGTACTGACCCCAAACTTTCGAACGGTAGTGTACTTTTAATCAGTTTCTGCATTCCCTGGGACTCGAACCCATGGTCTTGAAGTGGCACGTTTGTAGAACAATCAGTGCCTTAATGCACTAATTGTCAATTCCTTTCCAACCCCCAGATTCGCTGGAAGTATATGATTGTGGACGAGGGTCACCGCATGAAAAACCATCACTGCAAGCTCACGCAGGTGTTGAACACCCACTACGTCGCTCCCAGAAGGCTGTTGCTCACTGGGACCCCTCTACAGAACAAATTACCTGAGCTCTGGGCCCTGCTCAACTTCCTGTTGCCCACCATCTTCAAAAGCTGCACCACCTTTGAGCAGTGGTTCAATGCTCCATTTGCAATGACTGGAGAGAGGGTAGACTGTTATATTTCACCCTTATAGATTTACCATCCTGTTTTACACATTACACTGTAGCTTAAAGAGGTTTCTCTCTGTTGCGGATTACGCCGATTCAGGTGGATCTAAATGAAGAGGAGACCATCCTCATCATTCGCCGTTTGCATAAGGTATTACGTCCCTTCCTTCTGCGCAGACTGAAGAAAGAAGTGGAGTCCCAGTTACCTGAGAAGGTAAGGATCCATTCTGTCACACTTTTTTAATGAAAGTGGAAAAGGAGACACCAAGCAAAACAACAGTATTAATGTTTTATGCAAGTTCGGGTTAGAGTTGTCAAAAAGTAACGACTTCGGTACCAAGTCGGTGTGCTTTAAAATGTTTCGTAAAGCTTTGATCGCTGTTGAGTGTAATCATAAACACCTCTGATTTGCCATTGTGTTCACGCACTCATCGGATATGTCTGATGGGCTACGGGAGCGTTTCCTTTCAAAAGTTCCCGTCTGTATCTGTGTAAGCGGTCAGTGAAGAGCATCATTAATGTATATTTACAACATGTTTTTGAAGCGCTGATCATTGTAGCCAATCACAGACATATCCAATGAGCTTGTGAGTACAATAGGCAATCAGATGAGTTTATGATTCCGCTCAGCAACGCTCAAAGCGTCGCATTTTTAAAATTTCAGTATCGACTTGGTACCAGTACTTTTTGACAACTCTAGTTCAGGTTTTAGACTTTGGTTTTTCAAAAATGAAATGTTGCTAAAAAGCATTCAGCATGACATTTAACATGTGTCTTATTAGGTCGACCGCACACAGAAAACAACAAATAGTGCCTTGTCAAAGCAGCTATAAATGGTTTGATATATGAACTGAAGACACTACCAGTCAAAATTCAGTATGCAAATATAATTTGATGCGATTGCTGTTGGTAACATTTTTAATATTCTCTTAATGTCAATCAGAGTAAATTTTCAAACTGTAATCTTAAATTTCATAAGTAGGTCTCAACAGTTCAAATTTATACTGCCAATTTTATAGGCCCCAGTATGAATTATTACATAATTCATACATTATTACATTTATACATTATTACAGTATTACATTGTCTGTACATCTTTAAAAAAAAAAAGTACAACATTCTTTACAAAATTATTTTATTTATTTCCAAAAACAACAAAAAAGTATTTTTCTTTTAAATAAAGCATCTTCCAAACAAAGTTTGAATGACATCTGTATGTCATGCGGTTGAGGTTATATTCATGCATTGGGTCTTAATTCGTCACAGGTGGAGTATGTCATCAAATGTGACATGTCAGCCATCCAGAAGGTTCTGTACAGGCACATGCAGGGCAAAGGTATCCTGCTCACTGACGGCTCAGAGAAAGACAAGAAGGTAAAGAGAGAGGCTGTATGGTAACTGTAACTGTATGTTACACTGCTGTGTGGATTAAAGCAGACGTTCATGGGGTTTTAACTTGATGTATTTCATCCACAGGGTAAAGGAGGAGCCAAGACTTTAATGAACACCATCATGCAGCTGAAGAAGATCTGTAACCATCCCTACATGTTTCAGCACATTGAGGTATCGCCATATGTCTCAGTCATGGCTATTATTAAGCTGAAATAAAATATGAATATTGGTTGAAAAAAATTTGAAATGTTCTTTTGGCAGTAAACTGAAATAAGTTTTAAGTTGAAGCACTAAAATTATTAACCCTATGACAACGGACTCTTAAGCTTATCATTAGAGACCACCAACAACTATCATGAACAAACCAAATACGTTTTGATAAATTATTCTTAGAAATATCAACAAATCAGCATTATAACTTTCCAGAGCTATTGGTCTAAAAGATGAGGAAGAACGTTTAAAATGTATAATTCATTACATTTACGAGCCTTACAATCTCTGAACAAATGGCACGCATCAGTTCAACAGAAAAAAATAAGTTGCTTTTTTTGTCCATTCTTCTTTGAATTTTTGGTCTACTTCGTTGTCTTCTGTGTATCAGAATAATTAATTGTGTCAATGCGTTCATCCTCAGACATACTCCTGTATCAGTGTCCTTATTTGCATATATATATATGTATATATATATATATATATATATTTAACTTGAAGAAGACATGGTGGAATATGTGCGCATGCACGGTGCTGGTTTATGTTTGTTTTAGCACTAGAGTATATGAAATATGTCCATAAAAACTTGAAACACGCTCGCTCTGGTCCGGATATGAACTGTGATCCGTGTTGCGACTTGTTAAACTCATCACGGAGTTCCGCGCAAAAACCCCTCTTGTGTGTTTTTGCATATTAAACATGAGTCATATTTTACCATGTGTTGGTAGTCAAACTCCAGCTTTGACCACGTCTTTCTTTCATGCAAACAACACTTTTGTTTTACTGTTTTGAGGAAACATATACTTACCAACACATATGTGTCTGAAAAACAACTCCACAAACAGAACAGGCAGAGGTGTACAAACAGCACTGAAGTGGTCTTTAATGACATTTGACTTCTCTGATGGCATGCAATGCAGTGATTGGATTAAAAGAGAAAAGCTCAGAAATTGATGACATAGATGCGTACTCTCCAGGCACTGGAACTGTTTTTATCTCGTAGCATGAAAGTTAATTGGGTCTAAAAACCATTGGACCCCATTGACTTTTAATGTATGTATATAAAATATCTTTTAGACCTATAACTTCTTCATATCTATGGAGTTAAAACTTCGGTCAACAATCAAAATGAAACATTCTACAGTGCCATGGTATTTTTCTACTAGTATGGCATTAGCTGTACTCAAAGTGTCTATTTTTTACTTCAGGAATCCTTCGCTGAACACTTGGGATATCCAAATGGCATTATCAGCGGGTGAGTACGGATCAAATCGTCTGTTACCATGAATTGTTCATTCATCAAATATGAATCACTTAACACACCGCAGAGCCCCTGCACTACATGACATTTTAGACATGCTATTTTGTTGTCCTAGCCCTGACCTGTACCGTGCCTCTGGCAAGTTTGAGTTACTGGACCGCATCCTGCCCAAGCTGAAGGCCACCAATCACAGAGTGCTTCTGTTCTGTCAGATGACCACCCTCATGACCATCATGGAGGATTATTTTAGCTACCGTAACTTCCTCTATTTGCGTCTGGATGGTCAGTAATCAGTGCAAACCTCCTTTTATGTTTTCCTGTCCTTTAGGACCTCAATGTTGGGGATTTCCAATTGGTGGCCCACCATTTTTTTAATGAGTGTGATCACACATATATGCTGCCCTTTCTCTTTTATTAAAACATGTTTGTTTCTGGTTGTGTCCTCCAGGAACTACAAAGTCTGAGGACCGGGCAGAGCTTTTAAAGAAATTCAACAGTGAAGGCTCCCAGTATTTTATCTTCCTGTTGAGCACCAGGGCAGGTGGTTTGGGCCTCAACTTGCAAGCTGCAGACACCGTTGTGATCTTTGACAGCGACTGGAACCCCCACCAGGTTTGTGTGATTCAGAGGAACTAGCAACTTTTTTTTAACTCTATCTTGTGATTATGATTGTACTGTATATCTCACAATGTGAAAAAAATGTTTTCTTCATCAATATAGCCCGGTTTACACAACACCATTTTCCACTAAAAACTGAAAACTTTGTATGCATTTTGGCGCAAAGACGCAAAAAATGTTTAAAACGGGTTTCAAAGTGCAAGTTTTTGAAAACAATACCGTTAACATCTCCGTGTTAACTACAAAAATGTAAAATCGTTGATAGCATGCACATGCGTATTGAGTATTTAGTCTATAGGCATGCGCGTGTGGCTTGAGTGCTCTCAATAAAATAATGCTTTTGTGCGCAGGCATGTAGTCTTTCTTTACAAAGTGACATTTCCAACTAGTGGCCTGACATGCATAATACAGTGTTTTAGTCGTTTGCGGATCCGTGTGAATGGGGATGGTTTTGATAAGGTTGTCTGTGTAAAGAAAAAACTTTTCCGTATTTAGTACATCGTTGTCATGTAAACGTACCCTTACTCTGAAGTAGAAACAGGCTTCTATAGTAGTTGACAAATAATATGTACATTTTGATTTATTAGTATTAGAATTGCTGGTTAAAAGTTATACAGGAAAAAGTAAACTATGGTTTAAAAGTTGTTGTTTTTTTGTGGAAAAAAAATACTTTTATTCAGCAAAGATGATTGCTGAAAATGGATCAAAAGTGACCATAAAGACATTTTTAATGTCACAAAGATTTAGATTTCGAATAAAGGCTGTTCTTCTAAACTGTATTCATCCTGAAAAAAAATGCTTTGTCATTACAGCTTTTCCATCACAGGAATACATTACAGTTTAAAATATATTCAAATAGAAAACAGTTATTTTAAATTGCAAATATTTTAAATATTAATATTTAAATATTTCACAGTAGTATTGTTTTTACTGCATTTATTTTGTCAAATAAAATGGTCCTGTACTGTACATATATCACAAATAAAATAAATCCATGTATTTTCTCAATTAATACAAGGCCATAAAAGCTACATGCAATATGATTAGCAAAATGCTAATTATTTAAAGGAGAACTCCGGCGCAAAATGAACCTTTGGTCTAATTACTATGGAGCCAGATCAGACTCATTAATAATTCACGCATAAAACATGATTCACACATGCGTAGACAATTTCACATGCGTGAAACCTAATTCACGTACACACAAAAAAAATTCACGTGCGTGAAAAAAATATATATTCACAAAAAGCAATTCACATGCGCAAAATAAAATTATATATTCATAAAATACATTTCACAAATGCAAAACACAATTCGTAGATATACAACTGTGCACAAAAACCTTTGAATGTTTAAAATGTACGAGTGTGTCCTTGAATTTGAATGTGCAAATCGTCATTCACGTACGAATCGCCTTGGATGTGTGTGTGTGTATTTTTGAGACTTTCCTGGCAGCGCTTCACTCGTAACACAGAGCAGTCGTACTCTTTAGCCAATCAGATTTAAGCTCATCAATCGACCAATCAGTATCACGTGAGGGCGGGCCTACCTGCATGTTACGTCATCAGCTTTCGACCAGTTCATGGCTGAGCAGAGGTAAGTGCAGTTAATCGTTCATTTCTGTGTTAACTGAAGTTAGAGATCAGTTGAAGCAATAGTTTATGAACTATTAACTGATGTAAGCAAGTGTTGTTGTAATCAGATGTCCCATATCGTGTCAAAAATGAAGAAGAATGATGCTTGTTTTGTTGTATTTTATCTGTACAGACAGCTCTCACAGCTAATCATCACGCTAATGAGTGCAAAACAATCATCTGTGGTCAATACCCACCCTAGCTCTCTTAGCACTGGCTGGCCTCATCGAGATTGTTCTTTAAATGGTGAATAGACCTATTTTAATGAGCACCCAGTGTTTATTTGCCATTTGTGTATGTTGTTAAATTATTATTAACACTTGTTTCCCTGTATTTTTCAGGATTACTCACCTTTGGTGTGTCACAAACATCTTAATTCATGTTCTTTCTTTATTCTCTTTTATACTTTTTTTTGTATTTATGTCTTAATTGGTAACACTTTACAATATTGTTTCATTAGTTAACATGAGCTAATAATGAACTGCACGTAAACAGCCTTTATTATTTTTTGTTAATGTTAATTTCAGCATTTACTAATAGGCTACTTAATTAAAATCTTGTTAACATTAGTTAATGCACTGTAAACTAACAATAAACAGCTGTATTTTTAACTAACGTTAACAAAGACTAACAAACACCGCAACAAATGAATTGCTCATGGTTAGTTAATACATTAACTAATGTTAACTTAGTTATTGTACCATATTGTAGAGTGTTACCAATATATCCAACATTTCCTTATGTTTTGTGCTGTATTGTCATCTCAAGGTTTTTAAATAAGGTTTTTTATTGTCATCTTAAGGTCTCACGGGACAATATTGTGAAGCATTAATTTTACTTTGCTTAGTAAAATAGGCAAATCTGATTTTGTGCTGATAAGACAAAGGTACTTATCATAGAGAGGCAATTAAGATTATGCGACTAAGATTACTCAGTAAACTCTATTCAAATACCATCACTTAATCTCCCACGTCCTCTGTCTGCACCTCTCGTACTATAGGTTTTTACTATTTTAAATATCAGGACAAAATCTGATATGTCCTAACAGAGAGGTCTACTGATGACTGGATTGAACACAATTCATTTGTTCACTTTTCACTTGATGTATTGCACTTATATTTATATACTTTAAAAGCAAAGAAGACTCTGACTGGATCTCACAACTCTGGAAGAGACGTATATTTCTCTGCACTGAATGTTCATGATCTTCATATGTAACAGGAACATTAATCATGATCAAGTCATTTTATATATATTTTTTATTCCCAAAGGATTTCGGAAACTTTCAAATTAATAAAACGTGTACATCAAATTGAACTATGTCTTTTAATCTTTTAATTCTGACAAGAACATTTAAAAATGCATGCATAGCAGGGCTGTATTCCTAGAGCGTGTACATATAGTCCGCAGGAGACAAATGGATACAGTAACAATGCATCACTTTCAACCTCTTGTTGAAACAACTGTCAAAATGGATGGCTTGCAACAGGACTGTTTTGAAAGAATTACAGTAGGAATGGTAAGATCACAGTACTGGTTGTCTGCAACTTCATACATCATCTGTCTCGGAAATCTGAAACAATAAAACTACATAATATATGCAGTTTAAAACAAAACATGTCTCCTATATATGCACGTCATTACATACATTATCATCAGTTGAATGTGTTGTGGACAGGACATGAAAATCCATCAATACTAAAAATAAATGTTTATGTTCACATGTGGACTAAACAGCAGTTCATAAACTATGCTTCAACTGATCTCTAACTTCAGTTAACACAGAAATGAACGATTAACTGCACTTACCTCTGCTCAGCCATGAACTGGTCGAAAGCTGATGACGTAACATGCAGGTAGGCCCGCCCTCACGTGATACTGATTGGTCGATTGATGAGCTTAAATCTGATTGGCTAAAGAGTACGACTGCTCTGTGTTACGAGTGAAGCGCTGCCAGGAAAGTCTCAAAAATACACACACACACATCCAAGGCGATTCGTACGTGAATGACGATTTGCACATTCAAATTCAAGGACACACTCGTACATTTTAAACATTCAAAGGTTTTTGTGCACAGTTGTATATCTACGAATTGTGTTTTGCATTTGTGAAATGTATTTTATGAATATATAATTTTATTTTGCGCATGTGAATTGCTTTTTGTGAATATATATTTTTTTCACGCACGTGAATTTTTTTTGTGTGTACGTGAATTAGGTTTCACGCATGTGAAATTGTCTACGCATGTGTGAATCATGTTTTATGCGTGAATTATTAATGAGTCTGATCTGGCTCCATAAATTACACATTGTTACCTAGTCAACCGTTATCTGAGATTTGTTTTCATGATTATCGAATGTAAATAGTTTTATCTCTAAAAACAGTTTAGCCTATAAAGCTAGTATAACGCTAGTATATTGGGCATAGATCAATGACAAATAAAAATCGCTTGTTAATACCACTAACAAGGCTCAAAATAGCCCCACACTAACACGGTAGCATAATGAGGGTCCCTACCTTCAAACCGAAGCATTGAGAACTTTGTCAGTGTCCAGACAGTTTAATAAGAAGATATTTAATACATACAGTCAACTTCGCGTATACAGGCAGGAGCCATCTTTGAAATACAGTCTCTTCCAGTCAATCTACGAACGCCGATCCAAGTGCGCTGGTGAGATGTGAACGAGCTATAAGTTGTGATAAGGTGTGCGCGAACAGCAGGCTTGGATCGGCGTTCGTAGATCGAATGGAAGAGACTGTATTTCAAAGATGGCTCCTGTCTGTATACGCGAAGTTGACTGTATGTATTAAATATCTTCTTATTAAACTGTCTGGACACTGACAAAGTTCTCAATGCTTCGGTTTGAAGGTAGGGACCCTCATTATGCTACCGTGTTAGTGTGGGGCTATTTTGAGCCTTGTTAGTGGTATTAACAAGCGATTTTTATTTGTCATTGATCTATGCCCAATATACTAGCGTTATACTAGCTTTATAGGCTAAACTGTTTTTAGAGATAAAACTATTTACATTCGATAATCATGAAAACAAATCTCAGATAACGGTTGACTAGGTACCAATGTGTAATTAGACCAAAGGTTCATTTTGCGCCGGAGTTCTCCTTTAAATTTGTTGTATAGTATTTAATACCACATCACTTTTTAATGCCAACTTACCACAGACAAGTATAGATTTTGAGGTGATTTTTGACGTGTTTATATATTTATTGGTTTATTTATTCATTTATCTTATTCATTTATTATTTCCATTCATATGTTGGTTTTGTTGGTTGGATGATTTGTTAGATTAGCAGCATGAAGTTTGGGCCCTTTTCCCCACACATTTTCAGCAGAAGATGCTAAAAATGTTCCCTCCATCCGCCTCCACATACAGGAAAACACAATAGCAATCTTCAGCCAATTTGAAATGTTTATTCTTCCTTCTCCAAAGAACAAGCCAGAAAGATTGCACCATGCCTCTTCTTAATAACACTCTCACCCTCTGATTGTAACTGATATAACTCTGTTAATCAAACTCAACTGTGTTTCAATCACCAGGACTTGCAGGCACAGGACCGAGCCCACCGCATCGGCCAGCAGAATGAAGTACGCGTACTGCGTCTGTGCACTGTTAACAGTGTGGAGGAGAAGATTCTAGCAGCGGCCAAATATAAACTGAACGTTGATCAGAAGGTCATTCAGGCAGGCATGTTTGATCAGAAGTCCTCTAGCCATGAACGTAGAGCCTTCCTGCAGGCTATTCTGGAGCACGAGGAACAGAATGAGGTGAGTCGTTTCAACAAGCACAGATGGCAGTTGGAGTAACTGATAAACTGGTTAATTGTATCTAATGATGCACTGAGGTCAAAATTATTAGGAAAAAGACAGATTATTTTTCATTTACTAGCCATTATGAAAGCATACATTGTGCAATTTGATTGCTATCAAATTGGCTATGCACATTCAAATTACACTTCACCTCATACATTTGTCTTCCCAAAATGGATATAAATCCAATCTACTATTCCCACAAATATATAAATATACAAATACTGTATAACAGATGAGGGCAGTACCAGGCTGTGAAATTTTCTGTTGAATGCTCTCGTCGCCCCACATAGCAGTTAATGTTTGAGTTTCACGGTTTCTCCATTCATGTGTCTCATCCATGATGGCGGGCTCTTGTGTCAATTGTGGGGCTCTCAAACTTCTGCACTCTGATGGCTGCTTGGGACAACAATTGAACATTTCAACTTAGCCGAGTCTCATTTTCTATGCAGCTTTTAGTGATCGAATTGCTATTAGCCTTAAAGGCATCATGGAGAGCATTTACACTAGCTGTCCGATCTTTAAAAATATATGTTAATCCCCTTCTGCCTTGAATTAATTTTTTATGCTTATAAAATATTTATAAAATAAAGTAATGAAAGATGCCTGTATTTTGAAATAATGTTGAAATAGTAAGGCTTTATCAAATTTACTGACACTATTCATAATGAGAAACATTAAAGGGATAGTTCACGTACAATTTTAAATTTTGTAAAAAGTAAAAATTTTAATTCTGTCATCATTTACTCATCCTGTTATATTTCCAAACCTGTAGAAATGTAATTCTTATGTGGAACAAAAGAGTTGATTTTTTTCTCTTTTTTCAAAATGTCTTCTCTTATGTTCCGCCGAAGAAAGAAAGAAATACAGGTTTGGAAGGACATGAGGGTGAGTAAATGATGACAGAAGTTTTATGTTATGTACATGAATCTCTAAGAGTCTGTTATTCTATTGATTTTGAGTGTGATAAAGCCAAAAGCAAAGGCATGCATTTTTGTGAGACTAACCGGAGTGCAGTTAAGTTGAGCTGAATTACTTACAGGAACAGTACAAAGCATTTCTTAGTGTCTGGTTTGGTAGTGTCTATTCTGGTACTATTACGATTTAAAAAGCAAAATTGTTTAAGGCACCCATGAGGGATGCTAATTTAAAAATCCACTTGGCCAGATATGAAATACTAGTCACTCTCAAAATAAATGTATCCTAATTATGTTTGTTGGCATGTGTGTGTTATACCAGGAGGAAGATGAAGTTCCAGATGATGAAACTCTCAATCAAATGATTGCTCGTAATGAGGACGAATTTGAGCTTTTCATGGTAAGACTGAAATCGCACAAAATGTGTTGCTTGCACAGAAAGTCCCTTGCATGTTGATTCACAGTAATTGTTGTCTCTTTGAAAAGTAAGCCATGTGTTTCTGTGAATTTTGAATCAATTTAAGACTAGAACAAGAAATTGACCAATTACTTTCAAACTTTATGTAATCCATTGATGGCACTTTTAGCGCATGGATTTGGACCGCCGTCGAGAGGATGCGCGCAACCCTAAGCGTAAACCTCGGCTAATGGAAGAGGATGAGCTGCCATCATGGATCCTGAAGGATGATGCAGAGGTGGAGCGGCTGACCTGTGAGGAGGAGGAGGAAAAGATTTTCGGCCGGGGATCTCGTCACCGCAGAGATGTCGACTACAGTGACGCATTGACGGAGAAGCAGTGGCTAAGGGTATGCTGCTTGTGTTACTTTCAGTTTATTATAGTCTTACCCATGACAAACAAGTAAAATGACACATGGCATAGACATATTAATATTTTTTTATTATTTCAGACTCATAAAAGGTCCATAAGAACATACAAGGGAGACAGACAGAGAAATAAAAACAATTGATTATAATCCATATAAACAATTTCTCCAGTGCCTCCAAAGCAGCGAGCTGTACCTAGTACTGCTCTGGTCAGGCCATATAAAAACAGTTATAATTTCATTTTGCGAGTCCATAAGTCTCATCATAAATTTATAAACAGCATTTCTTATTACAGCATTTAGTGTGGTCACATCATTCTGCACACACAACTGGCTTGCGCTGGTCCAGCGAGGTACTTTCAAAAGAATCCTAAGAGCATCGTTATATGCTACTTGTAACTTGTGAAATACAGCTTTTCTGTAGAAACACCACAGGTGAGCAGTGTAGAGTGGTGTGCAATAGGCTTTAAACAAGGCTATTTTTACATTTTCTGTACACATTACACATAATCCCATCTACATGTTGAGAGCTCTTGTTACCGTAGCAACAGATCGTCTTCCGCTTTTTCTAAAGGTCTCTTTTTATGCTGAATGAGTTAGTTGCACAGAGATGACTCGTCAAAACCCGGAAACAAGTTAGCATTTTAGCACTTCCGGTCCGTTTTTTTATTTTTATGGGCTTTTGGTTAACTGCCTGAAACAAGCATTTACTTGTCCTGAAAAAGACGGTTGCAAACAAGTGGCTAAATGGGACTACAGAGGTTGACGGCGATATTAAACGTCATTAGCCGAACAGGTAAACTCATCTACTCACTATTTACTGTAACTTTCACAACCTCGTTGTGTTTATAATCAGGCTTTTGCAAACTATTATAACTTAAAGGGTCCCTATCATGCTATTTTAAAGTGTCCTAATGTTGTTGTGGAGTCTCCTACAACATGTTTACATGCATCAAAGGTAAAAAAACCTGTTTAATTTCCTCATAATATACATTTGCCCATCATCACATTTTCAATGATTCTCAAACGACTCGTCAAATGAATCAATCTCTCTAAATACCGCCTTTCCGCAAGCTACTCTGCTCTGATTGGCCAGACGGCTCAGTCTGTTGTGATTGGTCTACCACGTACATATTGCGTCGAAAACAAAAACGCCCATACGCTGATTTCATGCAGCCGTCTTTCTTTCATACTTATTTTAAAAATCGAAAGCGAGGCTCCGGTGGGAAGTAAACCGGAAGTGCCGCCTTTAATCATAGGAGAGTCGCGAATGCGATGGCGTATTGTTGTGTTAATGTAGAAATGAGTTATTCTAAAACTGTACATACATTTCTTTCATACTTTAGACTATATACAGTGAAATTCATTTATAAATAAAAGATTTTTTTTATATATAATTCAGAACGTAAATAAAGAAGCAGGAACGAACTATATACATATCCTATATTGGATATCAACATCCAATAGTGTGAATCGCGGCAGCAGCTTCAGGTTGGTAGTCCAAGGCATTGTTGTTTATCTTTACTTCCAGGGTTCTTCCCACCGGAGCCTCGCTTTTGATTTCAAAATGGCGGCTGCGTGAAATCAGCGTATTGCCATAACAACATCAGCTCTGCTTGTCCTGAGGCTTCCTACACCGTAAACTAAACACAGTAATGAACAATGACGTCGATTTGACCATATCAATTCGAGCGCGAGTCCGATGAGGAAACACTGGAAGAGCTAGTTATTCAACCCGAACCTCCATCGCAAGGACGACTCGAGCATGACGTTTCACACTTCTCACTCAGTTTGAGGTACATTATAAGATGTTGCAACTGTAATTACTCACCATCAGCATTAACAAGTGAATGTCCATCAACAAACCGATTATTTTACTTGTACTAATTTATTTACAGAGTATTTTTCTAATATATTACGGTGAACATGTGAAAACTGTATCAATAACAGTGCATGTATGCAATGTACATTAGCCGAGCTCTAGAGTGAATGATCTGATGTAACATAAACGTTGGTAAAACAAATATTTCCTCAAAGTAGTGAGAACGACAGACAATCTGCATTAATAGACACAGTTTTAGGTAATAGTGGCCCACAGCTGATCAACAGAAGTATTTCAGTAAGACAGTAATAATGTGAGTTAACCAGTTAGCAGGAGACCTACACAATATAAAACTCAAAACTAAGTTTTTGAATACCATCTTTCAAGAGCAAGCAGTTTGCGAATCCTGCATTGAACTCCGAGATTTGAGAAGCAGTCGCCAGTAAAATAAAGGGAACACAGCAAAAGTTTAGGATTATACTGCTGTGATATCATGGTAAAGATGATTTTTAACCACTGATTCTTTACATGCTCGTCCTTGGGCAGTGAAAATAAACTGGCTTTAGCCTACCTTCACATTGTAGAGCACAGGGTCTTCTCGATATGATGCTGTCCAGTATCCATCAGCTGCAGTGTTCGAGGAGGTTCAAGTTGTCTGCGTGCGCAATAAGTGGACGGGCAATATACTAATGTTTCGTCTTGATGAAACGGCTTATGACTCGTTTGAAAAACGATTCATTTTATTGACTCAGAGTCGACTCTTACTTTTGAAAGACAATAACTTAATATACGGTGCACTTTCAGATTTAAAACTTTGCAGGATGTTTTCTTTCACTTAGACCTATGTTACACACTACATGAAAGGTCATTTTCAAAAATCCATAATAAGGGCCCTTTAACCTTTCAGGGACAATCTTTTTAAATAAAGACTGAAAGAGTTATCAGAAGCGTAGTGGTGATTGAAGTCAAGCGACCGTAGTTGAGTTTGTTTATAGCCTATGTTTAGCTTTTTACTTTTGCCGAACTTCCGGGTTGGCCTACAAAAGTACATTATCACTAAAGCACTCTATTTAGCTTTCATTTATTTTTATTTTTATTTTAGTATTTTTTTGTAATTCAAGTAATTCAATTAGTTCCTAAGGCAGCATTGTTTATTATTTTTTCATTTAATATTTATATTTTATTTTATTTCAGCAATATTTACACCATTTTTTTTTTAAAGTTTTAGTTAACAGTAACAACACTGGTACTGACAGAACTTACAGTGGTACTGACATTAAGGATGGAAGTACTAACTTGACCTCAAGAACTGATATGAAGCCGTTATTCATGTAGACGATTATAATACAATTGTACAGCTAGTGGTATCCATCTAATTTAAGTGAGTGTCATAAGCAGGTCTTTGAAATATTTGCACTGACATTTCAAAAATATACATAAGCTCAGCTGATTTCCGCAGAATTAGAACAGCCATCATTTATAAAATTCAACAAATCCCCTGTTGCTTTTTTTTTCCGCTGTTGCTTGTGTTTTCATTTTTTAAATGAATGTTTGATAACACTGTCAGCTACCAGTAAGAGTGTAGTAATCTTCTGCTGGGCCTAGATATATGCCCAAAGGTTTGAGGACCTAGACTAGAGAACCAGTTATAGCAGTGATCAGTTTGAGGTGGGGTCACTGGCTTCATTGTATGTTTTGATCACTTGAATATGAGTAAAATTTCAGTATACAGGTCCATGAGAATCAGAATGGAGCCAATATATGTTGACTGAGGTTACAACGAGGAGAGATTGTAAAGGCAGTAGACAGGTTTGACGAAAAAACTCGAAAAAGAAAAACATCAGATTTTCACTTGAATTATAGTTTCAAAAAATTAACGAGTACATCATAAGATCATCTCTCCATTTCTAATGTTTCCACATCATGTAACAGCATTACACCAGTTTCGTCTGATCTGATTTTTAATGATCTGCAGTGGTGCCTGTATAGATTCTGTAAATAAAATATTAAATGGGTTGGAAAATATTTGGAAACGTAGTAAACAGTGCCTGTTATTTTCCAGGTCTGTTCGTCCTTCTCCTACAATATATCTCAAACACAATATGACAAATACAGCCCTCCTCTGTGTAGCAATTCAGCTGGATCAATGAACCCAATTGCATTACACTGAATCACCCAAACCCAAATAGCTTTTTCTTTTCTTTTTTTTTTTATTCTCCTTCCAGGCACAAATTGACTGTCCTTCTCTCTAACAAGCTTTTTGCTATCCCCTTTGTCATTTCTTTTATACAAACTGGGCTCCATACAGTCCTCCTAAACAATTTCAAAGCAATCCAGTGGATTGTGCCGGTCGATAATAACTGAGAAACTGTTTCCATAGGGTATCACGGTTGTTCTTTGGTGAGGGGTCGTCTGCTGCAGGGTTTGGCTAGAAGGTAACAAGAGTACAACTGTTTTTTAGCACAGAGGCTGAAGGTGTAAAGCAGCAAGGGAGGTAATTATACGTGAAGCCGGTTCCTGATAAACAGAGAGCCACTGAGGAGTAAAAGTATACTGAAAGAGGAAGGAAGTTCAACACACAGCAATCAGATCTTCCAGAGAAGCAACATGTGGTCTGTAAGTTTTTATGAGGTGGAAAAAGACCACTTTGATTAAAGCTATCTGAACCACCTTACTTTTATTGTGGCTTGATGGGCAATTTTAAAGTAATCTTATTTAGTGCCTCACTGTGTTTCACGGTTTTTTAGTGTTTTTCTAAAACGCACCATGAAAGGAAATGTTTACCTTGTGATAGTCCCCACACACACAAAAAAAGGATTCCTTTGTAGCTTGAGCTTAAAGTCATTCTCCAAGATTGCCTTTACACAGGAAATTATGACAGAGCATCTCCCCATCGACACAGCTCAATGGCTCAACAAATTGATTTTGATGCTTGACTGCACAGAGTTTAGCAAACAGTCAACTATGTTGGGGAAATTTAGTCTGTTGTGGGGTGAGAGAGAGTATGTGTCAGTCTTGCAGACATAAATACTCTGGTCGTCTGCCTTCAACTTAAAATACGAACTTGCAATTTGCAGTATAACTCAAACGGGGTGTTTGCATTTATTGCTTTGTGTGTGGTGTGATGCCGAGAGAGAGGTCAGTCATCCGTGGCGTTTCT